GGTGCGGTGCGGGCAGCGCTGCAGGCCGTGAGGCCGCGGCCGCCATTACCCGCCGCATGCCCGCCATGGCCTCAGGCCGCCTTCCCCTCATGGCTCCTTCCCCTCCTCACACCGGCCCCGTCTCGTCCTGCAGGGAAGTGCCGAGGCCTCCGCACCGCTCGGAAGCTGCGCAGCCACCGCCGGGACCAGAAGTGGCACGACAAGCAGTACAAGAAGGCGCACTTGGGCACGGCGCTGAAGGCCAACCCCTTCGGGGGCGCTTCCCACGCCAAGGGCATCGTCCTGGAGAAAGTGTGGGTGCTCCTCCCGGTTGGAATGGGCGTCCCAGAGCCCACCTGGGATGCAGCTCAACCACGGATGCTGGGGGGGAAAACAGGGATTTCGGGTGGTTTTTTCCGTTCTCCTACAAATAGCAAAAAACACAAAAAAACAACAAGGATTTTTTCCCAAAAATGGTGGGAAAAATAAAGATCTTGAGCAAAAAATAGTTTAAAAAAATTAAGAGGAGGGGTTGGCACAAATCACAGCAAAATGAGAAATGTGTGGGGTATTCAAAAAAGGGCAAACGAAGATTTTTCACAAGAATTAGAGAAAATAAATTTTGGAAAATAAATAGGGAAGTTAAAAATAAGGGAAAATGCAAGATTTTTTTTTTTTTTTTGCATAAGGGATAATCAGGATTTTGAGCACAAAAGGAAGGAAAATTGTGTTTGTCTGTTATACATCCTTCCTACTTCTGCCTTTTTTTCCCCTCAATAATTTATAGATTAGGCTGCCAAGGCTGTGGTTTTGGGACACTTTCCTGTGATTTCAGTTGTTTTAGGTTTTTACAATTTTACTGAATTAGTCTGGAGGTCATTTAAGTTTCTATTAGGCTTAGAAAGTGGTATTTTAAAGATTCATACATATATTTAGATTAATATTTATTATGTAATATTAATTATTAAGTCAGTACTTCTAAACAGCTCAGAGTTGTTGAAATACAGATAAAATTTACACTGAGGACAAAGTTAAAAAGTGGATTGTGTGTTAATTAATGCCCCTCCTGGTCTGCCACGCTGATTTCTTTGCCGGTTGGTTTCCCTTGCAGGGGGGTGGAAGCCAAGCAGCCCAACTCTGCCATCAGGAAATGTGTCAGGGTGCAGCTCATTAAGAACGGCAAAAAAATCACAGCTTTTGTCCCCAACGATGGCTGCCTGAACTTCATCGAGGTAACTGCCCGGAATGTTGTGAGGGGAAGGTGTGGGTGACGGGATGGGGTTGGGTTTCTGGGTTTTGGTCGGGCACAGTGTGTGGGGAGGTGTTGGGGGCTCACTCGCTGTCCCTGCCGCAGGAGAACGACGAGGTGCTGGTGGCCGGCTTTGGGCGCAAGGGCCACGCCGTGGGGGACATCCCAGGCGTGCGCTTCAAGGTGGTCAAGGTGGCCAACGTGTCCCTGCTGGCCCTCTACAAGGGCAAGAAGGAGAGACCCAGGTCGTAAATCGTCACCACTCTGACAAGAACAACAATAAAATACTTTTAAAGGAGTTCTGTGCTTCTTATTCAGGGGATGCTGCAGGAGGAGGTGGGGTGGGCACAATGATCTTGCCATAGGAACTAAAACTAAATTTCTCCCTAGATGTGGCCAGAGAAAAAGCCCAAACCCTAATGTTCCTTCGGGACTACTAATCAGGAATTGGAATGTATAATTGTGACAAAGAGCCTGCCTCACATCAGAAATGGTGACTGGAGTGCTGGGGATGGCGTTTGTGGCAGCACTTCTTGTCTCGGCTGTGAGCACAGGCACAGAACTCACCGGGTTTGGGCCCTGAAGGGGGGACTGCACCCAGCCCAGAGAGCTGAGTGTAATTAGTGTTGGATACAAATTAACTGCGGCTGTTTTGGGGCAGTTTGCCCCGTTTGAAGACCCCCGTTTGTAGTACACTAACACTGCACCGACTTGGCTGTCTCTGAATTTCTCCCGTGCATGGCTCAGGGGTTTCTTAACGCAGTAAAACCTCAAAATGTGTCTGAAGTCAGAGTGAACAATTCCCTTGTTAGAACTGCAGTTGGTCTGCATGGTGAGGGAAAGCCTGTGATTCAAGGAATTCACTTACTTACATAGGAACTTAGATATTTATAAATATAGACAATTCTCTAAGAATACATTGAGACTCTCCCCCGAGTTTTGTGCAGTCAAACTCCCGGGGGAGGCGGAAGGGCAGGGGACTGCTGTCTCCCCTGGCAGTTCTGGATCTCCCAAGTTCCACAGGAAGATTGAGCGGGCGCTGTCGTGAGGCCGTGTCGCCAGCAGATGTCGCGACAGGAGCGGGGAGGGGGACAGCTGAAACGGAAATGTTCCAGCCAAGAACTCGCGTGTGTTCTGACAAAGGAAATGGGGAATTCGGGCAAACGGGAGCTCGGGGGAGGCAGGAGAGCAGCCCTGGGCTGGATCCAGGCTGGGCTGGGCAGGAGGAGCAGCCCCGGAGGAGCCCTGGGAGCCCAAAGGTGCCGGGCTGGGCCCCAGCGTGGGCAGCAGGGCAGGGGGGATTGTGCCCCTCTGCCCCTCAGCTGAGACCCCACCTGCAGAGCTGCCCCAGCCCGGGCCCGGCACAGGGAGCAGCTGGAGCTGCTGGAGCCGGCCCAGAGGAGGCTCCAGGATGAGCAGAGGGACGGAGCAGCTCTGCTGCCAGGAAAGGCTGCCACAGCTGCCATTGCTCAGCCCGGACAGGAGAAGCTTTGGCCTCAGCTCCCTGTGGCCTCGCAGGGCCCGAAGGAGCCGCAGGAAAGGTGCAGAGAGACAATTGCCAAGGGCTGCAGGGCCAGGAGCCAGGGAATGGCTGCCAGTGGCAGAGGGCAGGGCTGGATGGGATCTTGGGCAGCAATTGTTCCCTGGCAGGGTGGGCAGGCCCTGGCACAGGGTGCCCAGAGCAGCTGGGGCTGCCCCTGGATCCCTGGCAGTGCCCAAGGCCAGGCTGGACATTGGGGCTGGCAGCTCCTGGGACACTGCGAGCTGGCCCTGCCCTGCCTGGGGTGGCACTGGGGTGGCACTGGGGGGGCTCTGGGATCTCCTCCCACTCACCCGTGATTCTGTGATTGTGCCAGTGCCCAGGAATAGCTTGTCATTCCTGGACACTGCCGGAAGAACTCGAGCCAAACATCACCAAAGTTCTACCAGAGAGGTTTTAAGCCAAATAAACGTGTTTTGTAACCCAGAATCTTCCAAAACAGAGGAGAATCCAGGACTGGTCACGTTTTCCATCTCATCACCAAAGCTAACTAATATTTTCACTTACTAAAGCAGTTGGCCAACCAGCTGACACCAGCAATACCTGAAATGAATAAGAACTACAAGAGAAGACTTTGTTTTGTAACACACTCGAGGAAGGCGTTAAGAGGGTGCTCTGTAAATCCATTCTCTGTTCAAACACAGCAGTGAAATCCTCTCTCGCCTTAAGGTGAATTTGTCTTCAGGAGGTGACAGCTACAACAAGCTCTCAGGTGAAGAACTGAAAGCTTCCTCGTGGCACAGGGTTTTTTAAGATTTTAATGAAATCCAAGAGATAACAACTTGTGTGACACCTTCCTAATCCTGAGCACTCAATACAGGGTTGCCTTTGCAGCTCTCAGCTTCAGGCTTTTTTTTCTTTTTTTTTTTTCTTTTTATTCTAGGTGGTAAGAATTTATTGCTCAAAAATGCACTAAATTCCTTGAAACACTTTTAAAAGCCTACATGCTACTAAAAATAGGTATAAATACCCATACCCACGCTGTTCTCTGGAAGAGAGTATTTTTGAGGAAATAATTGTAACTCCACCATTCAGAGGGAAGAGCAATCGTCCTTCCTTTGTGCTGGGACTGAATTTATATCTCTGCAATATAAATACAGATGTCCAAACAGACTCATGAAACCAGCAAAGAGGTGGGGGGGAAAAAAAGTTATTGAGAAAATTTTCACTGAAATTCATGGAGATGCAGCAAGAATTGATGACTTAACTGGATTTAGCTGTAATTAAGTAGCCCCACATTTCCTGTGTGGAAAAGAATGTTCCTGTTAGTAACCAAAGCCAGGCAACCTCAAATCTCCTGGCAGGGGGTTAAATTCTTACCTGATCATGCTGACACAAATGAGGGATTATATATGTGGCTACCGACTGCACCCTGCAGAAAAACACATTTTTTGGCTTAGGTGAACACATAAAATTAATTCCTCTCGATGATTCTGGCAGCCCAGGGCAGGTATGAGACTGTTCTCTCCTACCAGAAACCCCCAGAAGTGAAGAACCACCCTTGATGTGTCTTCCCAGATTAGCAGAGATGAACAACTGAGCAAATTTACAAATCTAAACTGGAAATTTTCTCCTTGCTAGGATGCAGGAGTTCAGACAATGCTTGTAGGCAAAACCCAAGCTCAGGTCTAAGGATCTTCAACAGTTTCACTAAATAATGAATTCCAGCATAAAATAGAATCACAAAACAGTGCTACAATACCCTTGTTTTAAGTATATATGTATATATAAATATATATGTATGTATGTATATATGTATGTGTGTGTGTGTGTATATATATATATATACATATACATATACATATATATATATATATAT